GGTGACGACATCACAGGATTAATCAATATGAGACTAAAAACTGCACTGACGAGAACTTATCCTGCAGCAAAATTGATTGTCCTGTCTAAAACAACATGTTCTTTGACACAATCAAAGGTCGACAGGTATCCCTTTCATGTTACCACCAATTGTGTATACAAATTTACATGTACCTGCCAAAGCAGTTACATTGGTAGAACAGAAAGGAGAGCCTACGTCCGATTCAAAGAACATATTCCGAAAAGTTTACGGTTAAATGGATTAAACGCATTCAGCAGTGCTATCGCAAGACATCTCCTTGATACAGGACATGAAGTTGATATACTGAAGTCCTTCAAGGTGATCAACAAACAATCAAACTCTAACCTTTTGAAATTCGCTGAAGCGATAGCAATCAAACGTTTAAAACCAGATCTATGCATACAAAAAGAGACAGTAATAAATCTTTCTTTACCCTGGTAACAATAATCCCCACCCTTTCTATTCATTTACTCCTATTTATTTATTTATTACGTCATTCCCCATCTTCCAACTCTTTCTGAAGTTTAAATTACATCATACATAAATGATTGGTTTTAATTCATATTTTCTTTATTACTATTAATCTATTTTCATGAGTTCTAATCACTATTTCAATGTTCCAGAACTTTCCCTCTCTAACTTTATTTATTTATTCGAATTAAACATTTTATGAGCTCATTAACTCTATCTGAATATTTTCTACATCATCATACACATGTATTGATCCTTATTCACACTCTTATGTATAAATATGTCAATATCTGTAATAATGTTGAATTTCAAATAATTTAGGATGTAAGCAGCTGATGAGAACCTAACGAAATAAAATGAATTCATATTATTCTGCACCAATCTTTGTTCTTGCTCTATTTATATCTGATATATTTATATGCACCAAGTAAAATCTGACCTTTCTGTGCTTTAATATTAATTCACTAACAAAATATCTTTTTCACATACCGTTAGATTCCATTTTTAGAATGTTGACTTAATATATAATGCCGTTTTAATAAAGGGAACAGTTTTGTCTAAATTCTTCTTGTACCCATGCATGCATATATATATATTGTCAAATTCATCGTATTCGCACATTTACTTGCCTTTCCCTTTAAAAAAAGATTATTGATTATACAACATTGAAATTTGATTCGTCACTAATACTGAACAAATAATTTGGATTCATAATAGAAATGGTCATTAGACATTAGTTTTAGTTTTAGATTTAGCATTTAATTTCACTTTTCAAAACCTAGAATAATAATTTGGCTCCATTTTTTTTTTGATAACGTTTTTATTTGACTATATGGAGTTTCATGAATATATGAATTTACGAAACTTACCAATGTCTCCTTTCAGAGAATAACCTCTGAGACTTCTGGTACCCACTTACCTAAATTCATCGTACTGACTGACTCTTCCCGAAATGACCAAATATGTCCTTTAGCTATATTCTTACCCTAATGTTGTTTTGCTGCCTTTAGTTATGTTCTCTTGAGCACTTCGAATCAACTATTAGAGATCTCTTGTCAAATACATATCTTTTTTTTCAACTCATGCATTATTCATTTAACTGATTCAGTCTTTGTTTCACTACCTATATTTTTTACCGCCGTTAATTTAAAAGAAATCGGTAGAAAGATAATAAATTACGTCTAATCTTCCTGTTATGGAAAATAATTTTAGGAATGGGAATAAGTATTTTATTGACTCTATTCATTATTTAATGGCTGACGAGTATTATTGCCTGATTTTTTATAGAGATTTGCATAGAGCGAGTCAACAGTGTTCATAAGAATCTCAAAACGGTGATATTTTTCCTTCAATGTTCAAAATACCCAGCTAATGAATAATCTAAATAAAAAGGAAACTTAGATTAAGAGATTTTTTGCTCACTAAATTTTACCATACAAAGTTTAACAAATTGTTCTAAAGTGTTTAGCTGCATAACTTGATGAAGTCTGTCTACGATGTGGTAAAATAATGCTTGTCAAAACGGTGAAATGAATAATATGTAATGTTAGTTGATTGTCTTTAGCTTAGTTGTATTTTAGCATAGTGGGCCTGTGGAGACTACTGAAGTTCTATAGTCTATATGACAGACTGGTCTTAGACAACAATTAGGAACTTGAAAATCCGTTGATAGCTGCTTTGTTCCAGAATGAGACTCCTCACCAGTATGTTTCCACGAAACCACTGAATAACACATACACGACTTTCCGCTTAACAGAGAGCGCTTAACTTCTAGACTACTAAACCGCTAGCTAGTGCTATACACACCTGACTTCGATCATTCCCGATTTCGTGCAAACATCTATATTTCTTGTAATTGGTATAGTTTTGTGTTTATATTTGCGTGCACGCTGTGAAGATATGACATTTTATAATTGTATACTTAAATGAGATAATCAAATGACTTTAATAGTTGTATATAAAGTATTAACACTCATTAGTATAACGAATAAAGTCATATACTTAATCTTTTCCAATTACGCTTCATCAAAAAAAAAAACAGTAAACATTCGCCAATATATGTTAATTTGGCAAAACATGTTCTTTACCGCTGAACGTCTTTTTCGCTATAATTGATTTGGTTAAGACCATTCATAGTTTCAGTCTCTAAGTTTTAACGATCATTATAAAGATCTACTTTCTACAAGATTTGGAAGTTTCTGTTTAGACGTCATGTGACAAATTGGATGTATACTAATGTGAATGACTGAAAATCAGTTTCTCAATGACTTCTGGTTTTCTTCATTTCATGTTACTTTTGTATTAAAACTAACTCAAAGCTGAATGAAAATTCTTGAACCAACTAACTAAGTAATAATCATATATATTTATCATTTTGTCCTGAGTATCAACAAACTATCTACTGTACAAAATTTACAAAAAAACTAAACTCTATGGTAAATAAGAACTTTCGTCTAAATTTGATTGAATAGTTTCACAGAATTTATACACCGAGTTGATGTGAAACATTAAAGCAGAAGAATGTATTTGTAAAATTTCAGCGAATGAATTGAAAGTAAATCCAACTCTTCTCCTGGCAATCTGGTCCATCCTTTTTCAAGGAAATATAATCAAACATCAAAATGATTGAATATAAATAGGTACATGGTTCTCCGGTTCACTGTATACTGAATAAGTCATCTAATCAGCATTAACAATGTTTAAAGTAGGTAATTACATTAGTGTGTAAGAGATATGAGGTGTGAAACGAAAAGTGTTAAGATAACAGATTGTGTGTATACGTAAGTGAGAAGAAGAAATCTCACTCATTGAATATTGTCTTCGATCTGTGAATATTAGGAAAACACCACATGTCTCTTACACACTAATGTAATTACCTACTTTAAACATTGTTAATGTTGATTAGATGACTTATTCAGTACACAGTAAACCGGAGAACCATGTACCTATTTATATTCAATCATTTTGATGTTTAACTATATTTCCTTGAAAAAGCATGGACCAGATTGCCAGGCGAAGCGTTGGATTTACTTAAAATTCATTCGCTGAGATTTTACAAATGCATTCTTCATCTTTAAACTGTAGAGTTATATAGTTCTACCTTATAAATAATAATATTGGTTTAACGTCAATAATTTTTAAAGGAAATTACAGTGTGGTGTGTGCTACTTATATTCACATAAGTAGTATATGATGTTAGTCGTGAACAGAAGGTCTAGAAGCGGAGAGACAAGAGGATCGAACAGTAAAGAATGAAAACAGGATGCAATTTATGTGAAAATGCAAGAACAATGAAGTCTGAGTCATTTTGAGACAATTGATGGACATTTTGCAAATTAAGTATTTACATTATGATTGTTAGATTTTATTAACAAGTCGTGTATTTATGTGTTAAATACATTCGATTGTCCCCATCTGTGTTCTGCTCACTACAATAGCAATTTTCAAATATTTTTTGTGTTATGTACAATCATATGAATGTGTCATAATTTTTGTGAAATTACAATTGCTCTATAATCTGTTTATTTAATTATCTATATTTTATGACGTTTATAAAACCCCCTGAATTTAACAATGATATAGTGCAGAAATTATCTAATGATCCATCATGCCTATCCCAACTTTTCTATATTGAAATTTTCTTTCGATGTATAAAGTAGATGCATTGTTTATAGTGCTTTGTTTCAGATAAACAGTACATCTAACCGACTTTTCCTGGGTTCGAATCTCGCGGACGTGATTGTGGATGCGCACTTTTGAGGAGTCTCATACTTAGAGGAAACGACTGTCCAATTCTTCCAGATTTTCCATGGTAGTCTAGCTTTAATTGATTCATGAATTCAACTATTAAATTAATAAAATCCTGACAAAATCCCCTTTTGATAATGTGTAACCACATTAAAAATAAGTGTTTTGCTAATCATCTCTTTGACTCCATCTATCAATACGAATATTTTCACATAAATTCAGTAACTTTAATAACAAACTTTCAGTAACATTGTCAAATTTCTTCTAAATTTTCAATAAAATTCAAATAAAATGATCAACGTAATCATATCGTGTTATCTAACTTTCATTTGACCGGTTCATTTCATAAATCTCTATTTTGATTGATAAACTATCAAAAAAATTTGTCTAGTTACCTTGACAACTATAATAATAGAATAATAATTGAATTGATATGTATTAATAAATATATAATTAAATAAATATTTTATTCATTAACAAGATGAATAAACATGATAATTCATTGAATTCAATAAATTTTGTTTACTTTAAACCAGTGAAGAAGAAGAACAAGAACAAGAAGAAGAAGAAGAAGGGAAGGAAGCAGAAGATTGAGAAAATATTCAGTTGATAAATGAAAATTTATTCAAAATGTTTATCAAGAGAAAGAGTTTGCTAAATTCTTAAGAATAAAAAACCCGCAACTCTATAAAACTTGAAACAATCAATAATAAATATCATTGTTTATTTATTTATTTCTTTTCTTTTCGAAAAAAAACCCAGTGTTGATTTGTTTATTTTAAAGATGTTTTAGTAAAAAGATAAGTAAACACTTTGTGTGTATGTGTGTGTGTGTTTGTGTTTGTGATTTCTCATGGTTACAATCATGTTTAACTATTGACTAAAATGAAAATTATAAATTAAAAAGCGAAAAAAAATTATTTTAGGTAGAAAAAAAAAGGTTATCGAGCAAGATGAATTATCGATTTGTGTTTGGCTCGTTTCTTTTTTTCTTTGTTTTACCGAAACTAATGTCAGAAAATAATATTGATTGTGAATTATCTTATAATATAATAATCAACCCATATTTAATGCACCAGCACCTTGTCCAAAACCAAAACCTTTTGGTCCGAAATTTTTTCCATAACAAGCTGAAAAATTAAATATAAAAAGCTCATTTATTATTATTATTTAGAAAGTAGTAAGTTATACATAGTAACTTGACTACTAGAGCTAAAACTTAAGTGGAGTAATGAATTACACTTAAAATAGAATGATTGTCTATTCCCCCTGTTCAATTTGTCTAACAACTGAACGATCAAAATAATAATATCTAACTTCAACCAATCCACGAAGTTGCGCCACCGTACACCATTGTCTTGGATGCCGGCTCATTGGTCTAGTGGTTAAGTGCTCGGGCGCGAAGCCAGTAGGTCCTGGGTTCGAGCCCCGCGTGGTGCAGGATCGTGGATGCGCACTGCTACCGAGTCCCATACCAGGACGAAACGGCCGTCCAGTGCTTCCAGGTTTTCAATGGTTGTCTAGCTTCAACTGACTCATGATTTCAACTTGTGAAATTTCTTAAACTCTCCACAAAACCCATTCTGAAAATAATAATCATAATCATTTTAATTGCACATCATAGTGACCATAACATTATAGTTAACTTGATGTGAACATTTTTTTTAAAGAAAAAATGTCAAAATGGAGCATTTTTTTAATATTTTTAGTTGTTTCTAGCTAAAGTTTTGGAATATATTACTTTTCACAACTAACAGTCTGTTCAAAGAACTGAGCGTATTCAATTCAAAGAAATTTGAATAACACATAAAAATGTACTGCATGGTATAATTAATCTGATAATGATATGTGCATGTGTATATATAGATTGTTATTATCGTTTAAAGATCCTCATCATATTAAAAGACTAATATTTGACAGAAGAATATTCTTTTCGATAAATTCTCTTCAGTTACTACAATTCATATATCGAAATTAATAATCCGAAAAATGGCCAGGTTAAGAGCAAAGTATTTGAATTTAGGATTCTTAAACAAAATATAATAAAATTGTTAATGTTGATATGACTCAGATAGAATGTTAACTTGGATCTGTGTATATGTTAGGTGGAATTAAAGATTCATAGTCAGAATAGATATGGGTCAGATAGGGTGAGAGTAATAATAGTGCAATTACAATTCGGTCAAATGTTTAGTGGAAGGATATATTGTGCGAAAAATTAGTAAGACGTAATAAGGAGGGATAAATGTGAAGTGAATGAATCATGTATAGGAGAGATTAGTAATGATGTTTAACAAATAGTAATAATAATAATGATAATAATAATAATACAAAGATTTGTGAATAAAGATAACAGACAATTACAATTGACCACGAGAGGTCGTAGCCATTAACCTGGTCATTTTTCGGATTATTAATTTGGATATATAATTGTAGAACCTGCAGAGGATTGTTATTATAGTCATTTCAATGGTTAAGATCATGAGTCCGTTGAAGCTGGACCACCATGGAAAACCTGGAAGCACTAGACGGCCGTCTCGTTCCATTGTGGGACTCCTCAGCAGTGCGCATCCACGACCTCGTCCCCCGTGAGATCCGAACCCAGGACCTACTGGTTTCGCGCGCCAGCACTTAACCACTAAACCAATGAGCCGCCCGACATCCAACGGTGTTAATGTCTAACTTCAACTAATCCACGAAATTGAGCGACACATCCACCATAATCTTCAGTGAGTTACTGCCTCACAACAGACCTGGTTGAACTACACTGGTCACTACTTCTCACTAGAACTGTTATGTTATTATGTCAAGGAGTAAGTCATTCTACGATTCATCTATGTAACAAAACTTTCGGTAAATTATTCTTAATTATTTAGCAAGAAATATTTTAAATTTCGAAAGTTTTCAGAGATGAAGTCATTTTTTTTTCAATGTCCTAACTAAAATAAAATAAATCATTAAGCTAAACAAAGTAATTGTGTTACAATTGTAAAGATTTCATTGTTTATTCTGGATTATATCATTAATACATACTTCATGTAGGTATGAGCTTTATAGTGATTTCACAATTGTTACTTCAATTCATTATATGATAGCTTTATTTATAATTGGTTGTCATGATAGGTATCTTTGAGTTCATTTGTTCTTAAATTCTTGTTGACTGTATCTTTCGGTTGATCTGATCATTTAATTTATTAGATACTTCATTCACCTAAATGTGTATAAACACGGATTAACAGTACAGTAAAATGACATGTCACGATTGGTACCAAACATGAAGATACATTTGATTGATCAAAAACTGACAATAATAGTGAGTTTCGAGTAGAGTGGTATTCAGACCACTTGATAATCAGTGAACACATTGACATGCATTCAGTCTACCCACTTATACTGATTAGTTACATGATCAGATCAACCATAAAGACAGTCAACAGGAATGCTAAAGTAAACGAATACAATCAAATCTACTAACACATCCCGTCACAAACAAGGGGATAAGAACAAACTGTTATAACATTTATGGAATAAGTGAAAAGCTCGCTTCTACATGAAGCAGGCTTTGATGATGAAAGCTTTTCAGTTAAACTGTCTAGCTCAGCGAATACAACATCACCCAAAGTATGCACCTAAGTTGTAAATCTTTATTTCAAAGATGTTTCAAAAGAAAAATATTTAATAATCGTCCCAGTAATGTTCACATTTCAGTGTTTGAAAGTTATTAAGATTGTAGCTAGATTTTTAGTAAATAATTTACCTATAATTAGATCAAATTAATGAGTGTTATTCAATAAACTGTATATTTTTAGTGTGGTGTGTGCTACTTATATTGACATAAGTAGTATATGATGTGACTCGTGAACAGAAGGTCTGGCAACAGAGAGATAAGAGGATCGAACAGTAAAAAATGGAAACAGGATGCAATTTGTATGAAAATGGAAGAACAATGAATTCTGAGTCATTTTGAGACAATCGATGGACATTTTGCAAATTAAGCATTTACATTATGATTGTTAGATTTTATTAACAAGTCGTGTATTTATGTGTTAAATACATTCGATTGTCCCAACTCGTGTTCTGTTCACTACAATAGGTATTCAGATAGATTAGATAAAGAAACAATTATGATCAATATTTAATTCAGTACCTTTACAATAAATTTCTTTTTCTTCCTTTTGAGTACACAACGTGGTTGAGTCAAGTGATTTCCCGCATACTTTACATCGGAAACAAGCTTTATGAAAGTTGAGCTAATTATAGAATTATAGCAAAAATAATGATAAATAAGTGGTGTATAAGCATCATTAAAATATTTTAAGTAATGAAAATAATTTTTCTGTAAGGATTTTGTGAAGATTACTTTAACTTCTAGGTGATATTCGTACGGGGTTAAACTGAGTTTAGATTTTACGGAAGTCGATAAACACTTGCCAGCTGTATTCTCTCAGTATGAGCGGCCTCAGAATTAGTCTATTATTTCATAAAGGATCTCGTTCTCCACTGCATGTGGTTATGATAAATGAACTTTGAAATATCTATCATCTACATTTATAGACTGCAGCCATATTTCCATTATATTCTACGTCTGGCTATATTACTGGAGTCATAACATCCTTATTTAGAATTATTAATTATCTATAATTGTGGATACTGGTACCAAACGCAACTCGAACACTCACAAGCCTGCCGATTTAAGTAACGTCCCTTAACTTTAATTTGTGTTTATACCTTATGTTATAACATTAACTTTTTGACGTAATAACTTTTGGCCCACCACAATTTGATTGCTTCTCTCACTAATTTGAGAAGTATAAGATGCTCAAGAATTTCAACAATATGTCAAGTTTATTTGCTAACTTATACTGCAAAATAGTACCAGTGAATACAGAAATATTTGTTTACAAGCATGTAACTTGAATAGTGAATGAAACAGTCTTCATCGTCAACAAATTACTGACTTTTAAATAAGCCAATCATACTCTACTATCATAAAGTTTCAGGTTCAACTGTTTCAAGATTAAGAAATCCCGTAAGTTGTGACAGTCTCGTAAGACACAGAAATTGTAAATTGTTGACAAATGTTTCTAATTTTATAACGAGTTCAAACAAATATAAAGTATATTATTACAGCCTAAATGGGTCATCGAAAGTAATAGTTATTTAATGGATGATCAACAAAATCAGTTTATAATATTTGACGTTTATGGCTCTAATATTTTATGCGAAGCATATAATAGTAATTCGTATCGTAGTGCTACTACTACTACTATCATTATTATTATTATTATTATTATTATTATTATTATTACTACTATTACGACTAATGCTACCACTACTATTACTACTAATACTACCACTACTACTACTGTGAAACACAGCATTAGGCATGAGGAAGGTACATTTGTTGTGAGGAGTTATTAATGTGTTCTGCAGTCTGACCCGTCTTCTCATCTGGTCTCCATGTGTTATGCTTTCGATGTACTGAAACTCTTCACTTCGTCTGATAATTGTATCAACTTCGACGTCGCGTTCCGCTATACACTACTTACATACAACCTTGTAAGTAATATCCACTAGACTATTATTACTACTGAAATATTTAAATAAACTTACTCCACTTGGACATCCAATAGCTTTTTCGGCATCATATACTCGTTTACCACAACGTGGGCAACCACCTTCTTCCGGAGGTATAACTTTACCACCTATTGCGCCAGCTGTTGGTTTATTTCTAAGTTAACGGTTTTTGGAAAAAAAATAGTTATATTTACAATAATTTATTGAAATAGGATTTTTGTAAACTCTGGCCAATATATATATAAACATATAGTCAGATATTATAGATAAATTATTGAATAAAGAATAAAATTTATTTTTATCTATCAGCTACCAGCAGTTGCTTTTTATGTAGTAATAAATCTTTCTGAGATACAATGTTAGATCACTAATAAGTAAATATAAAGTGTGAATAGAGGAAGAATGTATTTGTGTGACCAGATTGTTTGAAATGTATTGCGCTAATATATCACATAGTTCTGATAATCTTCGTCTTCTAATATCATCATCGAAAAAAATCTCAACCAAAAAAACTGAAGTAAAGCCAATGTTTCACCTGGCAATCTGGTCCAAGCTTTTTCAAATTCTTTCGCTGAGATTTTACAAGCAAAATTCTTCCTCTTTAATGTTTTACATTAACTCAGTGCCAAAATACTGTGAAACTATTCAATCAAATTTAGATGAGAGTTCTTATTTATTATAAAGTGAATAGGTTGTTTAAGATCAATAATATCTAACTGTTTAATTATATTTTATAGATGCATAGAAATAAAGAGGGTGATATAAATCTAACGTAAATTTGAAGTAACAACTTTTTTACTTTAAAAATCATGTAACTTTTAACGGGTAAACTATAAGAGTAAGTAAACGAACAGGCATTTTATTAAATTGAGATTAATTTTTTAGTCATAATAGGGCTTCAAAGAAGTAAGTGGATCAGTTGTTACTTCTCTGATTGAAATCATGAGTCAATTAAAGCTAGACCACTATGGAAAACCTGGAGGCACTGGACGGCCGTTTCGTCCTATTGTGGGACTCCTCAGAAGTGCGCATCCACGATCCCGCACCTCGCGAGATTCCAACCCAGGACGAGACGGCCATCCAGTGCCTCCAGGTTTTCCATGGTGGTCTAGCTTCAATTGACTCATGATTTCAATCTGTGAAATATATATATATATATATATATATATATATATATATATCATCAAATATTCTAAATTAAAGTCAGAACATCTGTGTTTAGTGATGGTGATGTTATTCTTAAGTTAATGAATGATATTTAGATAGTTGAACTTCATCATTTTTAGCTACCAGTGTTCTCTTAATCTATCACACACGCACACACTCTTGAGATTTATGACTAAATGTGTGTGATAGTTTGAAGATTTCACATATTATGTAATCTCTTTGCTATTTTATCAAGTATATTTTTCTTTTGTAAGAAGATAAACACAACTTGTCTCCTGATATCAACACATTTCTGAAAATATTTCTAATATCTTTGTTTCAGTGATTAGTTAGCTCAGTAAAGATCAACTGAAGAAAATTTGTTGTGTCTGCTTGATTACTGAAGTTAAGATTATTAGTTCAATGAATAAATTATACAGGTTGAAATCATGAGTCAGTTGAAGCTAGACCACCATTGAAAACCTGGAGGCACTGGACGGCCGTTTCGTCCTTGTATGGGACTCCTCAGCAGTGCCTATCCAGGTTTTCAATGGTGGTCTAGCTTCAACTGACTCGTGATTTCAACCTGTGAAATTTCTTAAACTCTCCAAAAAACCCATTCCGAGAATAAATTATAAGCTCAAAATTTTGGAAAATTTTCGTTAACAAATATCAATTCAAATTCACTTGATGTTGTTTTACTTGTATCATCCCATTGTCATTTAGGACTGAAATTGATCAGTCTCTTGTTGGCATATGTGTGGATTGACTCGATCTAGCCTTGATCACAAGCTTTTTAAGCAAAGATAGGACGAAATGCATGCCCTGGATTCCGTTGCTAGCCACTATCCATCTTTGCTTAAATATCAATTCAACTTATCGGCAAAAATGAAATTGAATGTGAAAACTGACAACTGTATCATCCTACCATACATAAAGGACGTATAAAAACCACGACAAGATTGTGCATATACATAAGCAAAATGACCAGTCAGTCTTATGCAAACTGAAGGATGAAATAACAAAAGAATAAAAACAAGACATTATTTTCAAAATAAACAGTTTTAACTGCGAAGAACACTAGGTCGGACAAAGTTGACGCCTTTGTTATTTTGATCTTCATGAAAGGGAACCAGCTATCAAACATCATGATGTATCTTCGTTTATACCAATGCTCGTGAACAATTATAGACTGGAAAAATTTTAAGGTTTTTGGATATAGAGAATACTACGAACACCAGAGAATTGTTATAAGCTTGGAACTCAGGCCATCAACAATCAACAAGCACATGGCAATTGATTAAATTTATCAACAAACCAGAAAAGTTATGGATAAATATGGGATCGAAAACCGATTCAAAAGAAGAGACAATCAAAACAAATATGCAGACAACGGTAGGTTTAATGTCAATAGTAACCAGTCAAGATCAAGGTCGATAGGATAAGCTGTTAGTCATATGTCAAGAAATTCGAATAACACATTTTTATCTAGATTTTGTGTTGATGATGATGTTCAGAAAAATAATGAGTGCTTCATGATTAAACCATCCAGTTTAGAAAAAGAAGTTCCACCAAAATCATTCACCTGAGCTAAAAATCGTATCCACCATCTCAGCCTAGACTATGTTTTATTACAGACGTTGGTTCGGTTTACATATAACTCTTTTCAACCTTTGGATGAACCACATACATAAGTCAAAACTTTCTTTATCCTGTAGCTTGTATACAATAAAGCTTACATAGTTTGAGTAGTGAGGTCGTATTGATGAATTGTCTGATTGTTATTAGCATAGATAAGTAATATAATTTAAAAATAATTATCCTGTCATTAAATATATCATATATAGCTCATCCCATCTCTTATAAAAACTTACGACATTTCTGTTTCTTTATTACCAACATGAGTTCCAGTATCCATATTCAATGCTCCAGAACCTCCACCGAATCCATAACCTTTAGGACCAAATTTACGACCATGGCAAGTTTTACAAAATACTTCTCCTTCATGTTCAGCCACTGTAGTACTGTCTAACATTTTATTGCACAAACCTTTAAAAATAAGATGTATATTTATGTAAACAGGGTCTGATATTCAACAAGAAAATAAAAAAAATAGTTTTATAAACCTTTTGTGGATTTCATTAATGTTAAGCCTATAGCTTTTAAAAAAATATTTTTTGATACTCACTTCACCACTAGAGAAATTTTTGATTGAGCCGTTGTTTGTATTCAGCATTGAGTTTTAGTCAGTTATATTCAGCATATATGCATCTTCAGCTGATTGCTTTGTTACAATCATTTTGTCGCAAGATGTTGGAATAGATGGATCATGACTAGTAATGAAACCCAGGATGTTCGTTTTGTCCTGTTCGGGATTAGTCATTTGAATCTACCCAAATTGTAGCATTGATGTTCGCGCTGAGATTCGAGACGCATACCTTTCACTTAAGACTATAACAAGTGAATTATTGACTCTCAGTGTAAAAGTCAACACTGAGATACTGGTATGTCCACCTAACAAGTCCCAAATAGAAAGAAACGCAAGCACTAGGTTCAAATGCTAGTCACAATTTATTTATTTTAAAAATCTTCTGTTCGATTGTGAAGAATGAAAAAAATAACACTAACTTTCAGAGTGGATTTAATACTAATCAGTTTGTTGCTCTGTAAATGGAACCAACTGGATGAACATTCATTCTGTGTTGTTTTAAACCAATTCAGTTATTGACTCAGTCGTTTAGAGGTTAAGCAGACCAAAGGTCATGGGTCCGAGTCCCGCATGCGGGATCGTGTATGCGCACTGCTGGGAAGTCCCATACTAGAACGAAACGGTCTTTAAGCACTTCCGGGTTTTCAATGGTGGTCTAACATTCATCCATTGATGATATCACTTAAAACTCAACATACTCTACAACCATATAATGACAATTTTATATTACAAATAATTATCAATCTAAAATCTGTTTAGAATATTAGAATAAATCAAATAACATCCATTTCATTGTTGAATACAGATATATTAGAGTCGAAATATCTAATTCTCCATAATGTTCATATTAGATTATAACTTGTAGTATCACAATTAAAGACTAATTCACAGATTTAAAAGTAATGTCATGTTCTAAAATTTCCAAGTATTCTCCAAATATAGATTAGTAATATGTCTTTATGAAGAGTATTTAAGTTTGAAAGGGTATAAACGATATATAAACCGACTTTGTAATCAATTAAAATATATACTATGGGTCTACTAAGAATAATTCTAGTGGAGAAGATTTGTAGCTCAGGTGGATGATTTTGGTGGAGTTTTGTTCTCTGAGCTGGATGGTTTGGTCGTGTCTGTAGTGTGCATCCGTTATCATTAAGTGTACCATTTTTCTTCCACTTTGCTCAGCTATTTTCCATCCTAATGGGCAGTTGATTGGAGGTCTATATCTTACACTTGTTGGTAGAACATGCTGGCGAAGACACTCATGGAGAAAATATAGTTGTTCTCGAGTGGAAGCCTGCCTTTTGGCGAAATTCTCCCATTTTCGAACAACGAGAAGCGTATTACGCTCATATGATTTTGAGATGGTGGAGAAGATTTGTAGCTCAGGTGGATGATTTTGGTATTTAGTTCACCGATTTAAAATTATTGAGGTAAGAAGATAAATTTCTACTGAATATTGTATGTAATGATTGGAAGCTGACAATTTCTATAAAATACTACCCAAATATAGGATAGATTATTATACTGAGAATGTACACACCAACCTTCCTGTTTATTTTTAAAAAAATATCGTATTTAGCTTACTATGATACTAGAAATATATGTCTCCCAAGAGTTGAACTGTGACCATTGATAAGATTTATTTCAAAGAAGATTTATTTATTGAATTATTTGAACACATAAACATTGGTACTAGTGGGCACCAAATATATATACACCACACAATAACAATGAAGTAGTAGTTATCATTGATTTATGTGAGGGCTGTGATACTGCTCGGGCACCCATACTGAAGCAAATGGTCTTCTTAGGGGGGTCATATCTGGAATCTTCGACCTAAAGGTCTGATACACAACGCAGTGGAGCAACGTAAAGAGATGCAGTCCCATGGTATCCGGTGATCAGCGATTGGTTCACACGCCATTTATTTCCTTAGGATCCTGGAGTCCTTGTACACCACTAGTTTAGAATCAGGGCTTACCAACTATGGTTAAAGCATAGGGAAATCTGTCTAATGCATGCAGTCAAAGCAAGTTTGATGAAAACATTTTACATGACAGTTTAAAACTTGAAGTATGTTAACTGTGTAAAAATAAGAAATATTATGTTTGTATGAATGCATCATTAGTCGTATCAGTTAATGTTAAGCCTCAGTAAGTGACTACTTATCATAATCGATATTATTGAAAAAATATCACTGAATAAATAGAGATTACAAGACAGTAAAAATAGCTAACCAAAAACTAACTTTAGTAAAACAAAACATATATTATATATATAAACACAAGAATGAGAATTATGAGTTGTTTAAACCATTGTAGACTTGTTTTATAGGCTAATTACAGAAAGATTACAGTGTATTCATCTAACTGTTAAAACACTCTATTGAAGTAAGTTCATTAGTATTAATTACTGTAGAATGCTGAAATGAAAAGCCTTATGTAATCAGTTTACTTAACGTTAAGCAAGTGGTCACACATTCCATTCATACAATAAATTGATTAATTTACTTGGTGACTTGATTAAAAAACAATGTCCTGTTAGCTGTTGTTCTAACAGCCCAGATGTCATCAATAAATTTTTGGTTTAATTTTATTTATCTCTAAGTATTATCTTTATGTAAGTACTTTTGATCAGTGTTAGAATGACCAACATTTAATATGCACATAGTACTGAATCTTGAATACTGTTTCTCATAAGCTCTTAACAAGCTGATTATTAGGAGGTGATTGTTTTAATATTAACTGATAATAATGGTTGGCATCACCAGTCATATTCTTAATGCCCAAAAATATATTGAAAATTATATTTTTCACGTGCTTATCAGTTAACAATGTAACCTATAATAATCTATGTGAGAAGGAATTGTCTACTCAGAAAAGACATTTTTTCTGAAGATGCTTTGTTGTGTGAGCTGGTCTGCTTAACCATGAAGCTTTCTTTTTCTTTGTCCATGTGCACCATTATTAGAGAAGCTATGCCGTAGTCATGGCATAGCAATAACCACACACTTGTGGACGACAACCAAGCTTCAAGTCAACGGAACAAGTTGCCGTTTTATTTAAAAGGAATTTAAATTAATCCCTTTTTATTGAATTGTATACACTGATGGTACTGTCATGGAACGCTATAAAAGCTTCAAAACTAAATCATCCAGCTCAGAGAATAAAACGCCACGAAAATCCTCATTCTTATTCTAACTTTATTATTATTTAAGTTTGTCTGGAGAAAGAAAGAAACCTTCAGTTCACTACAAGGATATTTATTCATCAGATTTTACGCTGATTTGATGTTAGAAACTACTTCAAACATTAAAAACTCAAGGATATCTTAAAATATTATGTTTAATGAGAAAAACAGTATTCCTTAAAGTACTAAAGATGTTTTAAACAATATACTATACTCTGAAAATGGCTATAACCTAGATTCATTTCGCCTACTGGCATAAAGACATTGATCTAAACTGTACATGAATTTATATTAACTAATTTTTAAAGTAATATACATCAATTAGATCTCAATTTCGTACAACTTTTTGCATTTATAAACTTGAATAAAGAAAGGACAAATATTATAAAAGTATTTGTTATATGTTTGATGTATGCTATTTATGTTGACAGGTATAAGTAGTATGTAACACTAATCAGAGGTGGAATTCCTGACAAAAGAATTTTGAGAGGGCTGATCTGAAGAAAACATAAAGGAATTGAGAATTAGGAGAATCATGGAGAATGTAAAAGATAATTGAAGGAAGATTTGCAAATAAAGCATTTAATGTGTGGTTTTCATATTTTAAGAAAGAACTCTGTCATTTAGTATGATACAAAAATTGTTCGTTCATTACATATGCACCTCATTTTTTTCGGCAAAATTTCCAAATGTTTATTTAAGTTATGGGTATTATAGTGATATTTTGATTTCATTAACTCATAGTTAAACTATACAACGTATACTTGACAACCACTTTTTTGTTAAGTAAAAGTGGTGGACCACTCTAGAATCAAATACAGAAGTTTCACGGTATAAGTTTTTGGTCAATAGACTAATCGAAGGCGGAGTATAACTCTCAATTTCAGCTTTAGATTCACTTACGAGGTGTACTTGGTCATTAGCGCAAATGAGTAGAAATTGCTGATAGAAGACTATCTAAATTCTTTTGAAATCTTACTGGAATTTTATCGCTTGACCGTAATTCATACAAATAAAATCATTATTTATTTAATACACTTAAAGCATGGTATAATTGTCCTTATGTTTTCAAGTAACAAACGACTGATAAGTTTACTGTCACATTGTTCTAATTAATAAACGAACACTGTTTCTTCCATATTTCACAAACATACTCGGTATTAAACTGTAAAAATACATTAAGATTTGGTTAATATTATATGAATAGTCTCTATTGGTACATATTAGAAAAATTAACACTTAATTTCAATACACCTTAACTAATCAGGCTGTCTTTCCAAGTATACATGATTAGGATGAGTGTTCGATCGTAACTTCTCTCAGTATCCACCATCTATGATGAAACTTTATCGGTTAGTAGTGTCCTGAACAATCTATATAAAAATGTTTCTATTTTTTTTAGCTGGTAGTATTAATTCAACTATTCAGAAAGATGATTTCAATGGGCGGAACATTGATTGTAGCTTTATAGATTCATATTTGTTATCGAAAAGTTCATGATGATTAGATACTCAGCTATATCACAATTGATTGATCACTGGGTGGTGATCAATGTCATGCTTGTCCAGTCCTCATTAGTGCAGATCCAATGCTATCGATCATGTTGCAATGTGGCCACCAGTCTAGGTGACTCGACACTGCGGGCACAATGTATTGAGATTTGGATGGTGGTTGGAGGTAGTCAAGAGCAAACCCTGGACCCGGGTTTCGTGCTATTTGGCACTCGTCAGGAAGGTGTACCTGTAATCTTGAGGCAACTGGTGCTCCCTGGCGGATTTGATCTCGTGTCACCCAGCTTCACAGTCAGAGACGAGTGCCAAATAGCACGAAACCCGGGTCCAGGGTTTCCTGTTGACTACCTCCAACCACCATCTAAATACTCAGCTATATCTCAAGTAGATTCATTCGAAATATAATAACACCACTCTGAAGATTACTATGATATATTTCTTTAAAACAAAGTTATTATCTGTAATTAAGTATCTTTTCATAAAACCCTAAATTATCTTTACATGAAAAGGTAAGTGTATTAATTAGTACATCACTTTAGTTATTAAAAAAGTCAATCAGTTTAAATCAAAAGTGTCTAATTCTTTTCAACACAATTTGAAATTCTAAACTCTTTCTTAAATCAGTCAATTTACTGTTTAGAATGATCAACTCTACAGAATATTCAAAAATGAAGTATATTTGAACGAACAATTGTTGTCAATAAGTTCATCATCAGGCTCTACAGTTATAAGTCCATAATTATAATATTTGACAAAGGCCAAAAATAAGGCATTCCCAATTCGTTTATCATAATTACCTTGATAATACCCTCCTTATTACATATTATATTCACACAACAATTTTATTATTATTTTCTCAATTGACAAGATTAAATTCTCCTACTATGCGTTTTATTCACACAATATTTTTTTGCATTTTCATTTTCGCTATTATACTATTATACTTATTGTGATTGGACACTTTACTCCAAATCATTCTGACCACTATTGAATGACCTTTCTAATTTGCAAATAATACAATTTTGAAGTGTTTAAGTGCTCGCGCGCGAAACCAGTAGGTCCAAGGTTCGAATCTCGCAGGAGGCGAAGTCGTGAATGCGCACCACTGAGGAGTCCCACAATACGACGAAACGGTCGTCCAGTGCTTCCATATTTTCCATGGTGGTCCAGCTTCAAATGACTCATCATCTTAACCATTGAAAGTATATATATAAATCGTAACAGATGCAAACGTTTACCATTTTTAACACATAGCATTGTCAAATTCATTAATACTTGCCTTATTTTTGACCTTTGTAAAATATCATAATTATGGACTTATAACTGTAGAGCTTGATGATGAAGTTATTGAAAACAATTGTTCGTTCAAATATTCTTCATTTTTTGAATATTCTATGAGGATGTTTAAACTGCTGAAATCTACAGAATAGTTCAAAACTTTAAATAAATTTAAAAAAACTTAAAAACACTAGTTATCCTACTATTTAATAAGTTAGTAGTTTAATGAAATGATATAAATTATAAAGTATCAATAACTAATTGAATGTTATTAAAAGAAAAAAAATAATAACTTACCACATTTTAAACACATACTATGCCATGCTTTACCACCGGCTATTTTTCTTTCTGCAGCATAAACAGCTTTTTGACATTTTGGACAAATTTCAGAAGGCATAATGTATCAATAAGAATCTATATTGAGTAATATATATATATATATGTAATTGTAAGATTTAATGAATAATTGTTATATTCAAAATAGTAACAATCAGTTTAGAATAATTTAAAACAAAAGAAATGGATGAATTAACTTCAAATCACTATTCACAATATTCTTTTAGTTTATATAGTTAGTTAATTAATAATAATGTGTAAATCTATTTTTCTCTATGGTAACAAAATTATATAATGATTATACTTTATGTATTCTATATAATTCTTATTATGATTTTTAAAATGTTTGTTAACCATTGTGCATATATATTTCAATATATTGAAAAGAGGGAACATAGGTAAGGTATATGGACTATATAGGGGGGTATGGTGTGTGTTTGTGTATGGAGAGACTGAATAGTTAGATTTCTTTCTATTTTATTCTCCTATTTTTTTTATACTTTCACAATATTTGGATATTTGAAGAAATGCTTTTGATTGGTATACAACGAATCAATAATACAACAAAGATTCCATAAAGATTATTTTATGGTGTAATAAAGGTTTAATTTGGAAACATTTGTGCCCCATCTGTCTGTCTAACTAAATCAATAAAAATTATGGAATTTTTTTTTCATTAAAAATTGGAATTACATAAAGAAATTTTATGGTAAATTTGTCCAACATTTAGGGAAATTGCTACTAAAGTCTGAATGTTTTGGTATCTTTGTTAGATTTCTTTATTTTCATTACATGATTATAGATATTGTTGATTTTAGATTGACACCATCAATGGATCAATACTGGACTATCATGGAAAATCTGGAAGTACTAGAAGACCGTTTCATCTCAGCATAGGATTCTTGAACAGTGTGCATCGACGACTCGAACCTACGACTTTTGGCTCCTCACGCGAACATTTCACCTCTAGACCATTGAGGCGGTTCAGTGATTTAGATTTCATTTGTCCAATCCATTGTGCATGACTGTTGTATACAGTTTTGAGGTTCAAAATTATGCTGTAGTTACAAATAGGATGTTATTTAAACGAACAGGCACAGTCTATTTTCTTTCGGACCGAATATATTACATTAAAAATGAACAGTTCAATCCTATATGTCAAAAACAGTAATATATATCAAATGATATTGTTATTGCATTTTATTAGCTAATTACTAAAATGGATTTTAAGTTAAGTGGAGACGAGAATGAAAGAAAATGATCGATAGATTTTTTCAGAAAGAATTTAATAAGATTTTCATCTTTCTTGGCATTCCATCAAACAAGATCACAAGTACCCAAATAGTCTTGTTAGAATCATGATAAATTTTTCTCTAATTAGCCTTAGGATAGTTTCATCATGTATTATTAATTTGAAACAAGATAGTGTGTCGACGTAGGTGGTAAGTGGATATTAAAATTAAAACACGAATTTCAGCGAAGGGATCTCTTTTCAACGAATTTATTATCAAGCTGTACAATCGTATATATATGAAAAATTTTTGATTTTGTAAAAGTACTAATTCCGTGAGGAAATGTGAACACAGTTAATAAAAAGGTTATAATAATAGATTACGTAATATGAATAATAATAATAATAACAATAGATTTAGTGATTATAATAAGATGATTAAAATGTTTTTGTTATAATAATAATTAAAGGTCATAGAGGTGTAAAAATAAATAAATATGGTGATATGATGAGTATTCACTAAAAAAAACAATGAGAATATAAGATAAAGGGGAGAATGCAGTAATAATAATAATAATAATAATAATAATAATAATAATAATAATAATAATAATTGGATAATCAAAATACTTAAGGCCAAGGTAACGATAACGATAAGACGTACTTCTTTTGTACGCATAGTTCTGGTTTAAGCTCCTGGATGGTAAGAGCTTCGGCTATTTTTAAAAGTTGGATGCGAAGAAATCTGGGTAGATTTGAACGAATCATATAAACAATCTTAAATTCATTTCTTGGATCAGTGGAATGGTTACAGTCGATTAGGTGTTCAAGTATAGAACTTCTAACTGCTTTCCTTTCCCCCTTATAGAACCAAGCCGGAATATGTTCCCGTATCCGAGTTAAAAGCGAGCGCTGGCTACGGCCAATGTACCTTGCTCCACAAGAGCAGGTGAACTGGTAGATGCACATAGACGCGACCAGACGCGGAAGCTTGTCTTTTATGGACACGGAAAATAATAAATTCGTTGAAAAGAGATCCCTTCGCTGAAATTCGTGTTTTAATTTTAATGTTTAAATGGGAATTATCTGTCAGGTAAGTGGATATATTCATCGTACATAAATAGAAACTTTCTATTCTGAACATTTCTCCCTATTTCACTCAGAACAATATATCTAGGCTTAACATAGTTCATACTGTAATTCCTTAACTGATGTATACTGAATTTAAAGGAACTGTACAGATTAGTTTTGTTATCTAACCTTAGTAAATTTCACTGATACTTCATTATGTTGGTCTGATAAAAAAAATCTCGTTATTTTATACTGTAGCCAAATCTTAGATTTAATATTTTAAGAGAACAAGTTCTATTAGGCTGCTGTTTTAACGTAAAACTAAAAAAATAATATTTTTAGTAAGTTACTATTAGATCTTATTTCTACTTATGTGTTCAGTTTGTGGCATATGCTACTTATGTCGATAAATATTAGTAGTACGCAGCACCAGTAGTAGTGGAATGTCTTGTATTAGAAGATTGGGAAGATCGGACTGAAGAGAGCAGAAATGTAACTCAACTTACGTTGGGCAATCTATACTCAGTTAGTCTGTTTATATTTGGTACTGATCCAACCAAAGAAAAGTGGCTAGCGACCTAAGCCAAATGAATAATCTAATTACAACAATCGCCTGCGTCGATTATACTTCTCATCTATAAGTGTCCTTAAGAAATTTAGTCTATATGAATTTCAAAACATGTAACAACGGGAGAGTTATCTAATATATCAACTTTTGATTGTCTGTAAATAGAAATGAGTTATTAAGATTTCGCCACAAATGACTAACAGCTTACTTAATAAAAAATAAATTGAAGTGAATTATTCACGATTAAATCACCGAGCTCAGATAACTTCGTCGAATTGCAGAGATGACTTAATTTATACGAGGAAAAACAAAAAGGGAAAAATTTTTCATCATTGAAAATATTTTTTAAATTTCATTAAACTAATATTTAGTAGCTCTTCTAGAAATACTATCGATCCCAACCCCGGTAAAAAGAGGCGCGTTAAGCACGGAGTCGGCAACCCCATCTGATAGAAAAAAAATTCTTGCTATAATAAGCCAGCCAGACTGAACAAGTTGCACCATTTAAACTCTACCCCCGAGTTCAAGGAAGAATTATGAAGCCTCATGGTGAAAGCCGAGTTCCTTTGGAAGCCACGAGGTCGATGCCCCTTCTGACAACCAGAGAAAAAATTTTTATAGGTACATGGAATGTTCGGACAATGTGGGAGACCGGGAAGACCAGTCAAATAGCAACGGAAATGAGGAGATTCAACTCGGCAGTACTCGAAATCAGTGAATCCCATCGGACCCAAGCTGGACAACAAAGGCTAGATACGACAGCCGAACAACAGGTAAAAAATCAAGACACAGACCGAATACACCGAGTCAAACAATTAAGTCAAGAGGAGCATTAGAAACGACAAGCAGAAATACGTGGATGAGCCAGCAACGCCAGCGAAAAAAGCTGCAAGTGGAGGAAATATGGGACAAGTATATGACACAACGAAGAAACTGGCAAGCAAATATAGTAAACCACAAAGACTGGTCAAAGACAAGGCAAGACAATTGCCGAAATTTAAGAACAAAGGATACTTTGAGGAACTCTTGAATAGATCAGCTCCATTGAATCCACCAGATATCGAAGCAGCACTGACAGACTTTCCAATAAATGTCACCCCCACCAATGATCGAAGAAATCAGGATGAACATCAGGTATATATATATATATATCCACTTAGTGTGGCATATTTCTCTCTACATATACATATTATGCTAGAAACTGGAAACATAATGGTAGTATGTTAAATAGTTCTACTCACAAGTGTCAAATGTCAACGAGCATTTTGATAAACTTAAGAGTCACTTACTTGAACTCTTTAGCGCACTAAATAAACTTTATTTCATCTGGCTACTAAACCTTAGGCAAAGTACTGTAATATTTCTATCAAGTAAAAAGTGTTTTGTATATACCCAACTGTTCAATTATAATTTTAATACAATGAAACCATTTGTATATACAATCTTATTTGTTACTTGTGTTATTACGATTGTAACTGAAAGAGTATGTATTAGTTAACCTCAGGAATTACTAGTTTATATATTACATACAATAATGCTACTACTTTAAAATATCCTAATTACATCTGCTCATGATTACAGGTTAAAATATGTTAAATCCTCAAATACTCTATATACAATAGCAGCTTTTGAGTCGGAAGCAAATCTTTTTTGACTTTATCAAGAGGATTTTATGTTAAAATTCTGAGACTTCATTCCCATTTAGTATTATTGCTTAGACGATTATTGAAGTATTAGTAATATATAATCAAAATACTGTTAGTTACACCTAGTAAAATAACTGATAATTATAGATTGATTCTTAAATAACGGAAAACAACAAATTATAAAAATAAGAGACCGATTCTGTAAATGGTGTAATATCATTTGAACTCTGATTCAAAGGTTTCAAAAGCAGGAAAAACTACTTATATCAAGTTTAGTATTTGAACGAAGTACATTCTTTTTGATAAATTCTCTTCAGGTTCTACAATTCATATATCCAAATTAATAATCCGAAAAATGACCAGGTTAAGGGCAAAGTACATTGTTTAAAGTTGAAGCATGTGAATTTAGGATTGTGATAAACAAAATTCAATAAAATTGTTAATTATCAGTTTAGGGGTTGTGGAGATTGTTAAGTTTTTGATATGACCCATATAGAATGTTAAGTTGAATCTGCATATATGTTGAGTGAAATTTAAGATCCATG